AGAAGCTTAGATCATTAATTTGAGGGTTTTTTTTTTCCTAAGGTAGGTATGTAAAGCTATAAATTTTCCTCTAAACGTTGCTTTAGCTGTATGCCACAAATATTAATTTGCTGTAATTTTATTTTCATTCAACTAAAAGTATGTGGGGCTTGAACTCAACAGCTGTGTGAACCAGCCAGGCGCCCCCTTTTAATTTAAGTATAGTTGACATACAATGTTAGATTAGTTTCAGGTATGCAACATAGTGATTCAACAAATTTATACCTTATGCTAAGCCAACCACAAGTGTAGCTACCATCTGTCACCATACAACACTCTTAGAATACCATTGACTATTATTTCCTATGCTGTACCTTTTGTTTCTGTGGCTTATAGATTCCATAACTGGAAGCCTGTATATCCCACTCCCCTTCACCCATTTTGCCCATCCCTTCACCCCCTTTCCATCTGACAGCCATCAGTTTGTTTCCTGTATTTATGTCTGATTCTGCTTTTTGTTTGTTTGTTTTTTGTTAGATTTCACCATTTTGCTACTGTTACATATTACCTCTACATATATTATAAGTCTCACAATTACAATTTTCCAATTTTAGCTTTAAAAAGTTAATGTCTCTAAACAAATAAAAAGAAAATAAATATATGTATAATTGTGTTGAGGGTCTCCAAGACCCATCAGGTTTAGTGACTTGCTAGAGTACTCACAGTACTTGGCATACGGTTGTACTCAAGCTAAGATTTATTACAGGGAAAGGATACAAAGCATAGTCAGCAAAGAGAAAAGGCTCATGGAGCAAAGACTGAAGGAAACCAGGCACAAGCTTACAAGACTCCTCTCCTCGGGGAGTCACATAGGATGTGCTTAATTCCTTCAGCTGTAACTTGTAACAAGAACAAAATGTTGTCTGACTGGGAAGCTCATCTGAGCTTATGAGTCCAGGGTTTTTGTATGAGATTGGTTATGTAGGCACAATTTCAGTCCCTAAAATTTCAGACTCTGAGGCGTAAACAAGTATTCAGCATAAACTATAGTTTCTATTAATACTTTAGGTACAATGAACCTACCTTATTTAGGGAAATTTTATATCAGTGTAGGGAACTGATTACCAGTCAGGTTCTCAGACCTACAAAAAAAAAACCCTGAATATTTGTGTCCCCTCCAAAATTTATATGTTGAAATCCTAACTCCCATTGTGTTGGTTACGAGGTGGGGTCTTTTGTAGGTGATTAGATCATGACAGCAGAGCCATAATGAATGGAATTAATACCCTTATGAAAGAGACCCCAGAGAGCTCCTTTGCCTCTTATGCCAAAGGACACAGTAAGAATATGGCCTTATGAAACAAGAAGGGGGCCATCCCCAGACACTCAATCTTCAAACACCTTGATCTTGGACTTACTAGTCTCCAAAATTGTGAGAAATAGATTTCCATGTTTATAAGCCACCCGGTTTATGGTATTCTGTTATAGCAGCCTGAACTGTCTGATAAAAGATCCAAGATACCATCTAGTGTCATTTGCATGTCCATGAAGAACTTCCTTTAGAATGAATGAATGAAGAATTCATTCAAATAGAAAGAATGAAGAACTTCCTTTAAAAGGAAATGAATATAGTGCTGGTAATGAATTCTCTTAATTTTTGTTTGTCTGAAATATATTTATGTCCTCTTCACTTTTGAAGGGTAGTTTCATTGTATATGGACTTCCTTTAGCACTTTATTTGTTCCATTGTCTTCTGGTCTCCATTTTTTTTTTTTTTTAATTAAAGACTACTTTTTAGAGCAGTTTTAGTTTTACTGAAGAACTAAGAAGAAGGTACAGAGATTTCCCAAATGCCCTGTTTCCTCTCACATGCATAGATTCCCCCATTATCAACATCCCCAACCAGAGTAGTACTTTTGTTACAATTGATGAACCTACACTGGCACATTATAATCACCCAGAATTCATAGTTCACATTATGATTTGCTCTTGATGGGGTACATTTTATGGGTTTGGACAAATGTATAATGAAATGTATTCATTAATAGAGTATCATACAGGGTATTTTTATTGCACTAAAAATCCTCTGTGTTCCATCTATTCATCTCTTTTCTCACCCCTACCCTCTGGCAAACACTGATCTTTTTACTGTGTCCATAGTTTTCCCTTCCCCAGAATGTCATATATTGGTAATCATACAGTATGTAACTTTTCAGATTGGCTTCTTTCATTTAGTATCCTGTATTTAAGCTTTCTCCATGTCTTTTCATGGCTTGATATTTCATCTTTTGAGCTTTAAATAATATTCCATCATCTGGATGTATCACAGTTTATCTGCTAGCATACTGAGGAACATCTTGATAACTTCTAAGTTGTAGCAATTATGAATAAGGCTGCTATAAATATCTGTGTATAGGTTTTCTGTGTACAGGTTTTGTGTGTACAGACATCTTTGTACATAATTTTTATTTTATTTTATTTATTTTATTTTATTTTTTTTAAAGATTTTATTTATTTGAGAGAGAGAGAATGAGAGAGGGAGAACACATGAGAGGGGGGAGGGTCAGAGGGAGAAGCAGACTCCCTGCTGAGCAGGGAGCCCGATGCGGGACTCCATCCAGGGACTCCAGGATCATGACCTGAGCCGAAGGCAGTCGCTTAACCAACTGAGCCACCCAGGCGCCCTTTTTTTTTTTTTTTTTTTTTTAAGATTTTTGTACATAATTTTTAATTCATTTAAGCAAATAGTGAAGAGCACAGTTGCTCAGCTGTAATGGTAAGAGTGTATTTTGTTTTGTAAGAGACTGCCAAGCTGGCTTCCAAAGTGGCTGTACCATTTTGCATTCCCACCCACAATGAATGAGAATTCCTGTTGCTCCATATCCTTGGCAGCATTTGGTGTTGTCCATGTTCCAGATTTGGGTCATTCTAATAGATGTGTAATAGTATTTCCTTGTTGTTTTAATTTGTATTTCCCTGATGACATATAATATGGAGCATCTTTTCATATGCTTGTTTGCCATCTGTATATCTTTTCTGGTGAAGTGTTTGTGCACATCTTTTGCCCAGTTTTTAATTGAACTGTTCATTTTCTTAATGTTGAGTTTTAAGACTTCTTTGTATGTTTTGTGTAATAGTCCTTTATCAGATGTGTCTTTGCAAATATTTTCTCCCAGTCTGTGGCTTGTCTTACTCTCTTCATGTTATCTTTCACAGAGCATAAGTTTTTAATTTTAATAAAGTCAGATTTATCAATTATTTCTGTCTTAGATCACTCTTTAAGTGTATCTTTTTTTTTTTTTTTTTTTAAGATCCATCTATTTTAGAGAGTGAGAGAGAGCACGCATATGTGCCAGTGGGGGGATTGGCAGAGGGTGGAATCTTCAAGCAGACTCCCCACTGAGGCGGAGCCTGTTGCTGGGCTTGATGCTGGGCTCAATCCCACGACCTATGAGATCATGACCTGGGCTGAAACCAAGAGCTGGACGCTTACCTGACTGAGGCACCCGGGCACCGCATTTGGTGTTGTATCTAGAAAGTCATTGCCACACCCAAGCTTATCTAGGTTTTCTCCTATAATATCTTCTAAGAGTTTTATGTTTTGCATTTTACATTTAGGTGTGTAATCCATCTTGAGTTAGTTTTTGTGAAGGACATAAGGTCTGTCTCCAGGTTCTTTTTTTATTTTTAATATGGCTGTCCAGTTGTTCATAGCATTTGTTGAAAAGACTTTCTTTGCTCATTGTATTACCTTTGCTTCTTTGTTAAACATCATTTGGCTGTATTCACATGGGCTTATTTTTGGGCTCTCTTTCCTGTTCCATTGGTCTATTAGTCTATTTTTTCCTTTTTTATTATTTTTTTTATTTTTTTAAAGATTTTATTTATTTATTTGAGAGAGAATGAGATAGAGAGAGAGAGCATGAGGGGGGAGGGTCAGAGGGAGAAGCAGACTCCCTGCTGACAGCAGGGAGCCTGATGCGGGACTCGATCCCAGGACTCCAGGATCATGACCTGAGCCGAAGGCAGTAGCCCAACCAACTGAGCCACCCAGGCGCCCCTATTTTTTCCTTTTTTAAAATTTTTAATTGAAATATAGTTGATGTATAATATTAATTTTAGGTGTACAACATAGTGAGTTGACAATTACATACATTACAAAATGCTTACCACAATAAATGTAGTTACTATCTGTCACTATAAAATGTTATTACAATATTGTTGACTATATTCCCTATGCTGTACTTTTCATCCCTGTGACTTGTTTTATTTTATAACTGTAAATCTGTATCTCTTTATCCCCTTCATCTATTTTGCCTTCTCTACCTCGCTCTCCTCTGGCAACTACCACTTTGTTCTCTGTATTTATGAGTCTGTTTTTTGGTTTTTGTTTGTTCATTTTTATTTTTTTAGATTCCACATATAAGTAAAATCATGTTGTCTTTCTCCGACTTATTTCACTTAACATAATACCCTCTAGGTCTATCTATATTGTCATGAATGGCAAGATTTCATTCTTTTTTATGGCTGAGTAATATTCCATTGAGTAATATCACATCTTCTTTATCCATTCATCTGTCAATGGACATTTAGGCTGCTTCTATATCTTGGCTATTTTAAATAATGCTGCAATAAATATTTGTCTCTTTTGTAAATACCACGTGTTTTGATCACTGTAGCTTATAGTAAATCTTGAAGTCAGGTACTATCAGTCTTCCAACTTTGTTCTTCTCCTTTGACATTGTATTGGCTATTCTTGGTCTTTTGGCTTTCCATATAAACTTTAGAATCAATTTGTTTGGTACGCAATATAACTTCCTGGGATTCTAATTGGGATTGCATTCAGTCTATAGATCAAATTGGGAAGAGCTGACATCCTGACAATATTGAGTCTTCTATCCATGAACATGAAACATCTCTTCATTTATTTAGTTCTTTTATTTTTTTTCTGGTTAGAATCTCAATTGGCTAATCTATACAACACCCTTTAAATTTTTTTTCAAATCTATTCTTTCTTTCAGGTCATAAATAAGGTTCATCTTCAGGCAAATCATGTTGTAAAAAGAGATGTTGATGAACATTTAAGAATCAAGACTGTCTATGATAAAAGTATTGATGAGTAAGTACACCATTATTTTGCCTTTTTAAAATTAAGAATCATGGGGTGCCTGTATTATAAAAAATAAAAAGGTGGGGGCGCCTGGGTGGCTCAGTCGTTAAGTGTCTGCCTTCGGCTTGGGTCATGATCCCAGGGTCCTGGGATCGAGCCCCACATCGGGCTCCCTGCTCCACGGGAAGCCTGCTTCTCCCTCTCCCACTCTCCTTGGTTTGTGTTCCCTCTCTCGCTGTGTCTCTCTGTCAAATAAATAAATAAAAATCTTAAAAAAAAAAATTAAGAATCAAAGTATTAAAGATACTTTCATCTGTTACCTGAAGATCCATAGGTGGAGCTACATGCTAATGCACCTTCAAGATGGAATGAAGCTTGGGGCACCTGGGTGGCTCAGTTGTTAAGTGTCTGCCTTCGGCTCAGGTCATGATCCCAGGGTTCTGGGATTGAGCCCCGCATCGGGCTCCCTGCTCAGGGGAGAGCCTGCTTCTCCCTCTCCCACTCTCCCTGCTTGTGTTCCCTCTCTCGCTGTGTCTCTCTCTGTCAAATAAATAAATAGAATCTTAAAAAAAAAAAAGATGGAATGAAGCTAAAAATGCTTTTTAGTCTGGAAAGGTGAAAACCATGGGATATGATTAAAATCTATACATCATAAACAGTTTAAACAGAACAAGTATGGATCTACTTGGTTGTGGTCATAACATACCTGGAAGGAACCTCCTCAATAAGTACTTGGAGGAAAAATAAAAGGAAGTACTAATATATACAATAAGAACATTTATAAAATTATTAGCCAGAGGGATGATAGTCTAATCTTTCATTTAGTGTAAGAGGGGTTCAGAAAATAGATAAATTATGAGGCGCCTGGGTGGCTCAGTCGTTAAGTGTCTGCCTTCGGCTCAGGTCATGATCCCAGGGTCTTGGGATCGAGCCCCACATCGGGCTCTCTGCTCGGCCGGGAGCCTGCTTCTCCCTCTCCCACTCCCCTTGCTTGTGTTCCCTCTCTCGCTGTGTCTCTCTCTGTCAAATAAATAAAATCTTTAAAAAAAAAAAAAAGAAAAGAGATAAATTATGAATCTGTAGTCATGTACGAAGAGCTATTAGGAGTGATTGATATCTTTCCCTCTCCTTAATTTCCCAGAAGAATGAGATAACATGATCATGCCTAGCTTTGTGCTTTGCTACAGAGTAAACTCAAATGTTTATTGAGGTAAATTGAGATTTTAGGGGACTGACACTAGATCTGTCCACAAAACATTCCTTGGGGGTCCTGCCAGATATATTCTGAACAAATGAGACAGTGCTGTGCCCATCGTGGCAATTCTTATGTTTTATGTCTTCATTTTCAGATTGCTCCCTGAGAAAAGATACCTTGTAAAGGTATGTAATAAGTACTCATGGCTTGAATTTGATACTTAAAATGGGTACACTTTATTATATAAACTGTACTTCAATAAAGAAAATATATACATGACTGTTTAGTGAATGAATGAATAAAAGGTGTTGGTAATGAACGTATTTATCATTTTCTTCAAAGGCGTCTCTGTGATGCACTCACCAAAACTTTGTCCTTATTTGATGCTAAATTAGTCTTCTCATTTTACAATTTAATAGTAAATCAGTCTTCTTGTTTTCTTACTTGTTCTCTTATGTTTTGTGGGAGAAGAACATGCTAAAGATAGGGTGAAGAAGAGAATTTTTGAAATACATTGAGAATACTATTGTCTTGTGGAAATACTCATTCCCCTGAAGATGGATGTATCTGATTATATAATATGCCAAAGTTGCTTATAGAGGTGCTAACTTCAGCAGTTGCTTAGCTGTTAGTCACACATGCACATTAAGCCAATTCATTATGGGTCACAGAAATTGGTGAGATTAAAGTAGATCTTCTAAACATAAGATTTTCTTAACATAAATTACCTTAACGTTGGAATCATCTAATTCAGTCCCAAATTTGAAGTAATTTAGATTAGTTGAGATTTATATACTCTAATATTCTCTTTAAGTGGAGATAGGGAAGGAATTTTTCACTTAGTTCTCTTTCCCCAAACTCAACTAAGAAAATAAGGAAATTCCTTTGCTCCTAGACTCATTCTCTTGCCACACAACCTTTGACTAACTAGCGTATTGTATTCCAGAATTGTAAAGTTTCCCCCTTTTTTCCCCCTCAGTCATTAATATCCTATGCTTACTTGTTTTAAATATATTTGTCCTTTAACTATAATTCTGACTTTTTTTTTTTTCAACTTTTATTTAGAACAAACTTTTTCCACAAGCTATTTCTTATTTAGAGAAGACTTTCCAGGTTCGTAGACCTTCAGGCACTATCCTACTTAGCAGGTATGTCACATTCAATACAGGTCATTTTCTTCACTTGTTTAGTACACTGACCTCCCCATTCTGCCAGTATGACAAATTGCAAAACTCATACTAGAATATTTCATTATGTTTGTCCTTAGAGACCAAACTGCAAGGTATTTAAAAGGAATAACGAAGCACCTGTTAGGTAATCATTCTTTCCTTGATTTTCCATTATGAGGTGACCTGCTAGATCTTTTCCTAGGGTTTAGTTGCCTGGTCCCCATATCCCCTTCCTCCCTCATGTGTCTACAGTAGAGGCTTATGAACTATTTGGGAGTCTAAAAACCTAGCTTAGGAGAATTTCCCATGAAACTAAGAATTCTTTCTTAGTCCACTTTTCTAACAAAAATAGTAATCATTATTAATGAACTAATATAGTAGCTGCTAGGTTTTTAAAATGTTTTTAACTACTGTGAACTATGTTTCTTTCTTTTTTTTCCTATTTTTTTGTAATTAAATTTTGATGTACAAATGAACTGAAGACAACGTGCAACCAACCGATACCTACAGAAGGAAAATGATCCTCATAGATACTGTACTGGGGAATTTGCAGAGCATACAAAATGCGGCCCAGTTATAGTGCCTGAGGAGCACCTCCAGGTAATTCACCCTACTCTTAGCATAGTTTTTACTCTTTTTTTTTTTTTTTAAAGATATTATTTATTTTTTTGAGAGAGAGAGAGACACAATGAGAGAGGGAACACAAGCAGGGGGGAGTGGGAGAGGGAGAACTGGCTTCGCGGGGAGCTGGATGCAGGGCTCGATCCCAGGAGCCTGGGATCATGACCTGAGCCAAAGGCAGACGCGTAATGACTGAGCCACCCAGGGACCCTGTTTTTACTCTTTAGGATAAACTGAGAGAGGGAGATTGTGAATCTGTGAGTGTCACCAAGGAATTTTTATAGACTTAAATTCAAAAGCTTCATTTTTCTTTCAAAAGTAATCTTAGCTCATTTTATTCTTTCATTTTTTTTTCAAATGAATTTGATGATACCTTCTTTCCTTTTTTTTTTTCTTTTTTCAATTTATCTCTGGGGCTGCTGAACCATTTCAGCTTAGAACTTTATCTTTGTCTTCCAAAACATCTTTTAGCAGGTATATACTCAGTATTTTTGAAGGGCAATTTGATATTATCTCTTAAAATAAAAAATATGTATGGTATGCTTCAACCCAATTTGGAAGTGTATTCCATAAAAATACTTACAAATCCGCTATATATGTTCAAGGATATTCTTTGCAAAACCATAAATATGCCAATATTAGTATTAAATTATGGTATAATCCTATAATGGAATACTATGCAGCTGTTAAAGAATGAGGTAGATCTCTATATACTGACTTGAAAAGATATTTAAGCTCTTAAATGAAAAAAGTTGGAAATCAGTATGTGTAGTTAGCCCATTTTATTTAAGAATTATAATCAATAATTCAACTTAATAAAACTGAAATAAAAACATAAAAAAATTAAAAAGTGTAGGTAGATATACAATGAAAAATTACGAAACCACCTAGAGGTATACACATACTAAAGAATCTGGAGCCAAATTAAAATATTAGTGGTTTTTTTTAAGAATTGGAGTATGGGGGGCTTTTCTTTGGTAAATTATGTATTTTTGTAATGTTCTGATTTTTCATATTAAGCATATACTACTTATCAGTAAAAAGATAAAAATTTTAAATGTGTATACGAGGAAACCAATTTATTATACATATACATTTGAAAATATGATTATTGCCTTAGCTGTTTCTCTCTATTGAACTGTGTTCTCTGGTTACTTCTGGAAAATGAATATATTACTGAACATTTACTTTGTAACCAAAATTAAGCATATGTTTATATGAAGTTTACTTTGTATTTTTTTTAAGTTATATGAAACTCAGTAAGGCTTTTAGAGGCCTGTATATTGGCACTAATACAACTAACTTACTCAGCTTTCATTTCTTAGATTTCTTGGGAGTGTATAAAAGGTTTTAGGGACATGTTTAAAAGTTAAAACAACTTGTTATTACATATCCAGCTCTTTCCCCAAGAAATTTAGAGGCATTTTATAGACATTTTAAGACCCATTCCTTGGGGCACATGGTTGGATCAGTTGAAAGAGCATGCAAATCAATCTCTGGGTCGTGAGTTTGAGCCCCTCATTGGGTGTAGAGATTACTTAAAAATAAAATCTTTAAAAAAAAAAAAAAGACATTTCTTAGCTTTTTTTCTAAGGTATTTTTTGTCTTCAATTCTGTTGGCTTCTCCAAATTCTGCTTCTTACTTCTTGATGGGTTGGGGGGTTGATGTGTCCTGATTTTTTTTTTTTTAAATACATGAGTGATCATGGAAAAGAATGTTTAAAAATCACAACTTTTTGTAACACTATTAATAGGTTAAAGTAATTGAACTGAAAAATTATAAATATATGTATTAGAGAAACAAGAGTAAACAATGTAATGAAATGGAGATTTCTGGTTTTTTTCTATATAAAACCATCACTTACACCTAAAAAAATCAGAATTTACTGATTTTTTAATTTGTAATTTGGAGGTTTGAGAAAGGAAGTTCTCTAAAAAGCAGCTGTTACACAGGCAAAGATTTAAATAAAAAACTAGAAATAAGAGTGATGTTGAGGTGACTTTACCCTTTAAACTCATCTTTAAAAGGTAAAGATGACTAACTTTTTACTTTGTACATGTTTGTATTATATGAATAACAAGATACAGGAATTACTTTATAATAGAAAATACATTTCCATTAGATAAAAAACTTTTTATTAATTTTGAAATAACTGTAGATTCACAAGAATATGCAATATATATGTGTATATATACACACATACAAGAAGGTCCACTGTAACTTTTCACCTAGTTTAAAAGTTTAAAACCTTTTCTATTTGTCTTTTTTTGCATCCTGGTTGACTGCCCTTAAAAATAATAAACAATTGATTGTTTTAATTAAGATTATAGATTTATAATCATTTATAAAGTAGGAATTTTGGTAAAATAAATTCACAATTAGAGAGAGGAACTGAGTAGAGGTAGGAATGGATTTTGATAAAAATTGAAGGGTAATAAAAGTTAAATCATACAAATTTAGAATCTGGATTCACTATAAAATAAAAGTCCCTATAGCTAACCTTGTCTCTGGTCTGATTTTCTGTTGCCTGCCATGGGCTCAGCGATGCAGGGTCTGCCGTGGGGGCAAGTGGTCCTGTGTAGCAGTGGGTGTACAAGACCAAGAGGGCGTCCGGGATGCAGACTTTGTTCTGTATGTTGGTGCTCTGGCCACCGAGAGGTGCAGCCATGAAAACATCATCTCTTATGCAGCCTATTGTCAACAGGAAGCAAAAATGGACAGGTAAACTTTCCCCCGAGACTTATTTTCCAAGATCTAAAATGGGAACTCTTAAAATGAATCCTAAGTGTTTAGAATACAGGATGTTTGCCTTTTCCAGATTGCCTCCAGTAGTAAGAAACTGTACCCTGCTTGGATGGGGTAGTGGGGACGGTAGGGCATGGTGGGTGGAGGAGAGTGTCAGGTGATAGAACTGTTATTGATATGGTAATGTCAGTACCAACTCCAAAGATAAAGTCTACTGTGGAGAGAATTTTCTTTGGAAGTAAATACCTCTCTAAGGAAACAATTTTAACTTTAATTTTAGCACCTCTGTGCTAAATCTGTAAGATGTTAAAAATAACTGTCCATCTAATTGTCATATTATTTGCTATGTCCTTCACTTAGATAAATTATCACTTAAAATATTTAGAGGCTCTTTTTAATTTATAAAAGATTAAAAAAAAAAATTTCCAAGTGAGGCAGGCTTGAAATGATGTTATTTTATATGCAGAAGATTGCCTGTCACATTCCAAACAAATCAGTCAAAGGTATTAGAAATTGCCATGTCTCAGGATAGATTGTAACATTCTCAAATCTAGGAGAGTTAATGTGACCAATTCATGTGTATATTAGGACCACTGCTGAGATCTTGAACGTTCATCTATCTGTCAAGACTAGCTGACTTTAAAGAGCTGTTTCATTTATATTGATGTACAGTTCATTTGAGGAAAAAAATGAAATCATTTGTTGAACCAAGTAGGCAATACAAAGGAAATAGTGGTATATGTTTACCTAAAGGTGTTAAGGATACAGTCAAAATCAGCATCATGGATTATGAAACAGTCTGTTACCATGATGCTATGTAACTGATGATCTGTGAAATCTGTCCAAAAATCTTTAGCTTCTAAATGTTAGGAAAGCTTAGAGTAAAATGATTGAATGTATTACTGAAAAAGAAAGTGCTATATGTTTTTGCAAAATATATATATATATGTATATATATATTGTTTAGTGAAAATACATGTATTTAATAGAGTATTCCTTTTTTCTGAGAAGTTGTCATTAAATTTATGATATTTTATAATTAATGGTATCTCAATATCAAGGAAATGTGGTATTTGGAGTGCTAAATGAATGATAAGTTATCTCATAAAATGAGATACTTTTTTAATGTAGGTATCTGTGTGAAATATACCTTCATAATAGTAGTGCCACGAAATCATGGTTATCTTAATTTGAACTAAACTGTATGAATTGTGCACACACATACACACACAATTTCATTTTCAATATACTGTTGAGTGTAAAAGACCATTGTAAAATAGTGTATATAATATTACATATTTGTTTTAAAGTTTATATATGTACTTGAGCTGCTAAGAAGAAAGAATTATTTCTTGTTTCTAAGAAGAATTATTCCTATAAAGTAATAATTAGGATTACCAGCCATTCCAATTTGGTCTGGACGTCCCTTGTTTTAGCACTAAAAATCTTATCCTGGGAAAGCCCTCAGTCCTGGGCAAATCGGGATGGCTGGTTATGCTAAAAATAAAGCACCCCAGATTGTTGATAGCAGTTAATTCTGATAGTGAAATTTAGGGGGAAGTAGGTTGTAAAACAAAATTTTCATGTTTTTTCTTTAGACATTTCTATGTTGTTTAGATATATACCCTTTCACAATGAGCTTTTATTACTTTTTTTTTTTTAAATAAAAGACATATTAAAGTGAACTTTATGTATTAGGAACAGAATGGCTTCCTTGGAAAAGTCGGGAGAGGGATATAAAATCCCATGTTGAGGTGGATCTAGATTAGTTCATCTCCTGTCAGCATCTGACAATGCTGAAAATACCTAAAGTTATCTAGTTGTCTTTTGGTGAGAGAATCCAGCATAGGAACCATCACACAGATAAGAATCCCATAACCCAGAGGTGTGTTTCAGTTTCTTTGCACTGCTATTAATGTTTGTTTAAAGTACTTTTAAGTTTCGGGCACCTGGGTGGCTCAGTCGGTTAAGCGGCTGCCTTTGCCTCAGGTCATGATCCCAGAGTCCTGGGATCGAGTCCCGCATCGGGCTCCCTGCTCTGCAGGGAGCCTGCTTCTCCCTCTCCCTCTGCCTACTTGTGTTCTCTATCTCTCTGTCAAATAAATAAATAAAATCTTTAAAAAAAAAAAATACTTTTAAGTTTCGGTTCACATTTGATATAAATGAGTAACTAAAAGAGTAAATGTTGGTACCAGTGAATATGGAGCTACTCATATATGTCTTCTCATATCTGGGAAAAGAATTTTGTTTCTTCTGATGTTGATGTTGGAAGAAAAAGTATCTTCAGTTCTTTTTTAATCTTTTAGTTGAAAGAGAAACTTTCCTTCAAAACTGCCATATCAATTCATTCCATGAATATTTGAGTGCCTGTGTTCAGCCAGCAGACTAGGTGAACAAAATAGACACATGTACCTGCATCACAGAACATACAAATTACTGAGGGAGACAGATACTAAATATACTTACAAATAAATGTGATTTCAAAATGTGATAAATTGTAGGGGGAAAAGGGTGCTGTAACATAAAAGAGAAAAAAGGGGGAAACATAAATTATGGCAAAGACAGACTATTTGAAAGTGAAACTTTAGGTGTAACCTGAACATTGATAAGCTTCAGCCAAATAAAGAGCTTGAGAAAGACTTAACGTTAGGAAAAATCCGTGTGTGCCTGTTGCTGTTAGAAGCCACTTCTGTGGACACTGGGTTTGAGGATGAGAACTTAAGGAGATGCATCGGAGAGACAGGGCTGTTTTATTTTAAATGCTGTAGGAAGTCCCTGATGAGTTTTAAGCCTGGCAGTGGCATCCATTTTATATTTTAGAGGTCAGTGTAGCAGTGTTCTGGTAAGTGAACTACATTCATACTTTTTTTAAGTGTAAGTCCATTCTCAAGTGTGAACAAAGTATGCCGTGTGTTTCTTACTTAAATAAGGCAAATGTTATTTTGGAAAAGGTGATTTACATTTTAAGTGGTAAAATGTTAGGGTAGTGGTGGGAGAAAGGACTTTAGAGTTCCTTACTATTGTCTGTTTGCCACAGCTTTTGAAAGACAGGTGCGTGGTGGAACTGACTGAATTACGCTAGGTGATAGTCAGCTCTTGGACTCTCAGGTTCTAGGCTTAGAAAGTGATAGAATTGTGTAGATTCTAGAAAGTTTAGACTATGAAAGAAGATGATGGGAAGATAAAAAATATCTGTATGCAAATGAAGGCAATGTTAGGGCAATCTGTCTGCAAAATCAGCAAGATGGGCATAAGAAGCTTGAGCAACCTGAATGATTTGCTTATTGTCCTATTGTATATCTAGCTTCCCTTTCCACCGACCTATAAATATAGTGAAATGCTGAAGTAAAAAATGGATTTTACAAGTAAACCAGTGTTAGAATTTAAGTTTCTGAGTCCATTCTTATCTTTTGATATATATGAACATATTTTATAAATTCACACTGAGGTGTAATTAACTTTATATTAACTTTCCTTTTGTGAGGACAGGTGCTAATGAGCCACACCATAGGAAAACAGAGGTAGATGTCTTGAAGGTGTAAGACAGTGAGTTAGATGTTATGGTACAAAATGACGTTTGATATTTAGCAAAGACTTTTCTTACCTTTGTCAATGTTTTATAGAAAAGTATAGGTTAGTACTTGAAATTAATATTGCACTGTATGTTAACCACCTGGAATTTAAATAAAAACTTGGGGGGAAAAAGATAAAAGTATAGGTTAGTAAATATCATAATACGTATTTTTCTGGAATATAATAAAAAATTCAATGTCTATTTTAACAGGCCAATAGCAGGATATGCTAACCTGTGTCCAAATATGATCTCTACCCAGCCTCAGGAGTTTATTGGGATGCTGTCCACAGTAAAACATGAGATTATTCATGCCCTGGTAAATTTTGCTGTTAACTCCTCTTCTTTTCTTTGTGCTTCGATTTTCTGTTTATTATGCTCTCATGTTGATGTATATGTTAAGTTTTGGATTCTTAGATATATGTCAGTAAAACCTAGATGATTAGGCCTCTGCCAATAGAGAATTTTTAATGATTAAGAAAATGGCTAGGTTGAGTTATACTACCCAAATTAATTAAACAAGTAAATTCATTGGGCAAATAGGAGTTTTGAGAAAATGATTACTATTCTTTAAAAAAAAAAAACTTAGTAATTTAGAAAAATTCACTTTCCTCTAAAGTGATAATTGATAATGCTAGTTTTAGATCTTTCTTATTTTTTACAGAGATCTGATTTGAAAAGACCTCTTGAGTTGCTTAGGCTTTCTAAAATTTAAATATACTGACTGATTCAAACCTCCCCTTCCTTTTCCCTAATTTGTCCAAAATAGTGAACTTTTATGATATGTACAGAAAATTAAATAAAGTTACCTAAGACCCTAGGAAATGTTCTCTTGATGCCATTTATGTATTTAGAAAATAGATAGTAGTAAAATGCAGTAATTGAGAGAGAATAGATTACACAGATTTAGGTGTGAATCTTCTTAACTTTACCACTGAAAATCTTTGGGATCTTGTGTAAATTATTTAGCCTTTGTAAGCCTCACTTTCATTTGTTAAAATGAAGATAATAGTAATACATACTAGAGTGGATTTTTTTTTTTTTTGGAGATTAAGTAAGATAAAATAGAAATGCCCTAGCACTATGCTATAAATAGTAAGGTATAATAAAATTAGTGGCAATTATTTATTAGTCTTACTTAGTGAGCTGTCATGTATGACCTTGCCTGTCTTTAAATCAGCATTGAATAACTCAGTGAAACTCCAGTGTAACCAGACAGCATTTATGTCCTTGAAGTAAGGGGATTCTAAAATGAATTATCTCTTTGTCTTTTATTTAAAAAATTAAGCTGAACCTGCTAATTGAGGTGAAACACAAGGATCATTCTAAGTAAGATCTAAAACCTATAGGGGCGCCTGGGTGGTTCAGTCGTTAAGTGTCTGCCTTGGGCTCAGGTCATGGTTCCAGGGTCCTGGGATCAAGCCCTGCATCGGGCTCCCTGCTCTGCAGGAAGCCTGATTCTCCATCTCCCACTCCCCCTGCTTGTGTTCCCTCTCTCGCTGTCTCTCTGTTAAAAAATAAATAAAATCTTTTTAAAAAAATAAGAAATAAAAACTATAGATACTTGATGTTGAGAGAAACAAAGAAAAACAACAGGTTTTAAGTGAACATGAATGCTGAGGTCCCAGGCATGAGGTAAATTAGGTTATGAACAGGCAATTCAGAGAAGAAAAAATCCAATTGACTGAAAAATGTGTAAGAAGGTATTCAGACTTACTTTAGCTGTCAAGGAATTTCAAATTAAAGCTAGATACCACTGGGGCACCTGTGTGTGGCTTAGTTGTTAAGCGTCTGCCTTTGGCTCAGGTCATGATTCCAGGGTGCTGGGATCGAGCCCCACTGCTCAGCAGGGAGTCTGCTTCTCCCTCTCCCACTCCCCCTGCTTGTGTTCCCTGTCTCGCTGGGTCTCTCTCTGTCAAATAAATAAATAAAATCTTAAAAAAAAAAAAAAACTAGATACCACTGACTGTAAAAGCATGTATGAAAGTTATGCACATTGACTTCAAGGTAGTGGTTACTTCTAGGAATAGAGGGAGGAAAAGGGGGTTAGGTAATGGGGCTTCAGCCATATTTACTCTCCAGTGTTTTATTTCTTAAAAGTTTGAAGAAAATATGGTAAAACTAACATCTTAAATACCCTTAAAGAAGATACATAAGTTTGGGGGTGGTTTTTTTTGTTTTTTGTGTTTTGTTTTTTTGTTTGTTTTACTTTGTATATTTGAATTATTTTAAAAATTGTAAAAACCTAAGAAGTTTTAAATATTAGCTTACGTCTCAAAAACCATCCTGGACAATGGTAAGAATTGTATGTTTAACAGAGATTCCCTATGAAATTATATATGCTCATAGCTATCGATTACAGTTACCTGTGGTGCTTTGAATACCTAATAAGCCTTCTGAGATGTGTGTTTAGAATAATTTTCAAGCTGATAGAGTGGAAAAAAATGTGTATTTACAATATTATAAAGGATGAGGCAAATTATACTATTTTAAGCTTTGTATGACTTCAGTGAATTGTATATTAAGAACTATTCAGGTTTTCTTAAAGAACTATTCAGATTTTCTTAGGTGACTCAATTAAGTGTCCTTTGCATCTTCAGAGATTAAAAAAGAAGAAGAAATTCAGGAATAAAAGAATAACCTGGATTCCATTAATCATTTTGGCAAGCCTTGAATGACACAGAGGCCCCAGTTGTGTAAGCAAAGAAATTTGCCAAAGAAATTGGTTAATTAAGTGATCATTTGTGGTTGTTAATTATTTAGATATGAGCATATTCTCAGTGTGCAAAACATACATAAAAAAGTAGTTACAAAAGTGCTTTGTTTTAGTTACTAGATTAGGAAAGACAGCAAGAAAGGAAATCTCACTAATGAAATAGGACATATCAATGGCAATCATTTTGTGTGTGTGTCCCCATTTTCTCATCTATTTTGGGAGGGGAAGGATAGAGAATGGGAAACTTTATGTGAAGTATCCATTATGTCATTAAAATTGAAGACTTATTAAAAATAGTATTTAAATTATGACTGTAAATATAAGAAATTCACATTGCAAAAGAATTGGGGGATATAAGTGATTTTACACATTACCCTACCATCAAGAGAACCACAGCTAACATTTTGATATATGTTTCCATTATTTTTTCCTAAGTGTACACACACAAACACATTTCCAGTCTTGTTAAGTACAGATATATATTAAATGTGGACTTCAGGATCAAAGATTTTGAATTTTTATGAGCGCGCTTAGGAGCACACTTGATTACCCACCCCCTACTCTAAACTATGTTAATTGTTCTTAGTGGTAACATTCCCTGGATGCAATTGTACAGCTTATGTAGTAAGTTTGTGTGAAGAGGATAAACTGATAAATACATTCTTAAACACATATATTTCCTTATTTATGGCAGTGCCAGAAGCATGTTGTCATTATTACTTTGGATTTCTTCACTTACTCAAGTAATTGAAATTTAAAATTCATAAGATGGAATCCGAATTTTTGTCCAATTCCAATATATGGCAGATCCCTGTAGAAGTATTGGCTGGGTGCTTTTGTTCTCTTTTGATAGCAGTGTGTTATGATGTGTATAATCAGACTTGATATTTTTCACATTGAGGCATTTTGAACTTTTTTTATAGGGATTCTCTGCTGGTCTATTTGCATTTTACCATGATAAAGATGGAAATCCTCTAACTTCAAGATTTGCAGATGGTCTCCCACCTTTTAATTATAGGTATTTGTTATTTTTGTTCTTGTTCTTCTCTTTTAGAAGGGTGCTAAGACTAGAATCTGAGAATCATGGCATGTTAGGTGCCATAAATAATAGTGGCTTCATGGCTAGCCTAAAAAAACTGTAGCTATTAAAACAGGATAAAAGAGGTCATGAAAGCATTACCCTTTCATTTTAAAGATGAAGCAGTTAAGATGCAGAAAACTTAAGTGACTTGCCCAAAGAGCTGGGACTCTTCTTGCCAGCAGAGCTCTTTTCCACCACATTGTAACTTGTATTACCATACAGTATAGTTAGGCCATGGGAAAATGTGGGTTGGTTATATTTTGGTTTATTAATAATTCTTGCCTCTCATGGCAATATTTGCATGTGAACTGATACTGTATTTAGTATAGCATATTAGTAGCAATCTATAGGTTCAGAGCCTAAAATAATAATATTAACACTAAAAAAAATTTATCAAGAATTTTTTATAGCATATCAATCACAGAACTGTTAACTATTTGCATACATTTATATAAAAAACAAATCTCTACATTAAGAGGATATGTCCACAAAAAGACATGCACAAGAATGTTCGTGGCAGTTTTGTAATTAATTGCCAAAAAATAGAAACTACCCAAAGATCCATCAATAGAAGAATGGATAAATAAGTTATGATATATTCATATAATTAAAAACTAGGCACTAATAAAGAACATACTATTGTTACATGCAGTAGCATATATGAATGTCACAGATACAATGTTGAGCAAAAGAAGTCAATCTGTTCGTATGGAATTTAAAAAAGAGCCATGATAAAAGGAAGATAAGTGGTTTTACTTGAAGGGCCAAGCTGTTAAATGGCATACAGGTTGAGTATAGATTGGGAAAGGGCACAAGGAAAGCTTCCAGGGGTACTGACAGTGTTCCCTACCTTTATCAGATTAGTGGTATATGGATGTGAAATAAACAGTTAAACCTTACGCTTAAAATTTGTTCACTTTGGGGCGCCTGGGTGGCTCAGTTGGTTGGGCGTCTGCCTTCGGCTCAGGTCATGATCCCAGGGTCCTGGGATCAAGTCCCACATCGGGCTCCCTGCTCGGCAGGAAGCCTGCTTCTCCCTCTCCCACTCCCCCTGCTTGTGTTCCTGCTCTCGCTATCTCTCTGTCAAATAAATAAATAAAAATCTTTAAAAAAATAAAAAAAATAAAAACTTTGTTCACTTTGTGTATATTTTGCTTTAATTAGAGAGATTTCTATTAAAATAGCTAGAATTAAATACTGAAGCAGATAATATTTTATTCATCATAATATTTTTTAGAGTACATGTGAAGAAACAAATTCTAATTGGAAATAGATATTTTCCTTCTTAGATAGTTTGTGTTCATTTGGTTGTGTAGGAAGGTCTGGTCTTTCCTAAGAATTGTGGTCTTATGGGAAACATTAAGTGGTGAGATAGACATCATCTGCATAGTGATGTAGGTAAGGAGGAGAGAGATAGCCACACAGAAGAACTATTGTTAAGCTGATAATTTGCAGTGCTTTCTTGTATTCAGGATATTCCTCAAAAGCAGGAAATCTTACGTATAAATGGAGATAATAGAATAATAGGAAATTCAGTTGATAACATATGAAGAGTTGAATTTGTCCCTACCGTATCTGGAGAAACTATTTGTCTTGAAATGTAGATAGTGAGGGCGCCTGGGTGGCTCAGTTGGTTAAGTGACTGCCTTCGGCTCAGGTCATGATCCTGGAGTCCCGGGATCGAGTCCCACATCAGGCTCCCTGCTCAGCAGGGAGTCTGCTTCTCCCTCTGACCCTCCTCCCTCTCATGCTGTCTGTCTCTCATTCTCTCTCTTGCAAATAAATAAAATCTTAAAAAAAAAAAAAAACAAATGTAGATAGTGAAGAGGATATTGGGAGTTATTAATAAGGTAAAAGCTGGGGCGCCTGGGTGGCTCAGTTGGTTAAGCGACTGCCTTCGGCTCAGGTCATGATCCTGGAGTCCCTGGATCGAGTCCCGCATTGGGCTCCCTGCTCAGCAGGGAGCCTGCTTCTCCCTCTGACCCTCCCCCCTCTCATGTGCTCGCTCTCTCTCATTCCCTCTCTCTCAAATAAATAAAATCTTTAAAAAAAAAAAATAAGGTAAAAGCTGTTTATTTTCTTGCTGCCTTTGATCACTATGGGTGGTTAAACATTAATTTGCCATGGAAAAAGATAAAAGGAATTAAGAAACAGTGCAGAGGATCATAGGGGAAGGGAGGGAAGACTGAATGGGAAGTCATCAGAGAGGGAAAAAACCATGAGAGACTCTTAACTATAGGAAGCAAACTGAGGGTTGCTGGAGGGGAGGTGGGTAGGGGGATGGGGTAATTGGGTGATGGGCATTAAGGAGGGCACGTGATATGAAGAGCACTGGGTGTTTCACACAACTGATGAATTATTGAACACTACATCTGAAACTAATGATGTACTATATGTTGGCTAATTGCATCTAAATTAAATAAATAAATAAACTAATAAAAAAATAACATCTTCGAGGCATGGGTAGATGAACAGATATATGACACAGAAAATATAACAAAATATTAATTGTAGAATCAAAGTGATAGTTATCAGTTATGCAAGTGTTCTCTTTAGAATTCTGTCAACATTGTGTGTGTTTAAAATTTCCATAAAATAATAGTGGGAAAAATATAGCTTCTTTATATTCTGTTTTATTGGTGAAAATAAGAGATTCATAGGGTTAATGATAGAAGTAATCTAGGAAAAAAGCCAGAAAAAAAATAATATGGATTATAGGGAAAGACAAAATTGATGTCCATTATAATTGATGTCATTATATCCTACCAATGATATATGAATACTTACCTTACCAGTACTGGATAGTATAGATCTTTTTTTTAGGCCAATCTGGTAAAAGATGGTATCTTGTATTTCTAGGACTACTGCTAAGGTTTCAGCCATTTGAATTTTCTCTTTGTATACAGCCTGTGTATGTTTTTTGGCCAATCTTAGGTTATTTTTCCTCTTCTAATGATTTTGTTAGAGTACTTTATAATTTAGGGATATTAATCCTTTTTCGAGTTTGTTGCAAATATTTACCCCATTTACTTATTTCATTTATCATATTTTTTCATACAAAAAATTTTAAAATTTTATCATTAAATTCATCTATTTTTTCTTCTGTTGCTTAAGAAATTTCTGCCCTCCAATGATTATAAAAATATTCTAAATGTCTTCTAGTAAATTATTATTTGAATTTTTTACTTTCATAGCTTTAATTCATTTGGAATTTATTTTTGCTTCATGTATTTTGGGTTTTTTTTTATAAGGTACATATATGTTTATAACTGTTATATCTTCTTGGTAGATTGACCCTTTCATCATTATAAAATGTCCCTCTTTGTCTCTACTAACAATTTTTGTTTTAAAGTCTATTTTGTCTGATATTGGCACAGCCATTCCAACTTTCTTTTGAGTACTGTTTGCATGGTACATCTGTTTAATTCTTTTACATTCTTTGTGTCCTTGAGTCTGAACTGTGTTTCTTATAAACATAGTTGGATTATGGTTTTTTTTTAAAAATGCATTGTTCCAGTCAACCACATTCTGCCCCCTCTGTAGTGGTTGCCAGGTTGCTGGTTTTCATGATTGTGGGCTTTTAGTTTTCAGGGCTGCCACATAACTGGAGAGAGGGCATGGGAAAATGCCACAAAACTTGCTGTTCTTACTGAATTTTTCCATTTTTTAAAAAAATAAATGCTTTCTGAATTGCTGCAAGTCTTTAGTTAATTTTCAAAGTTCTGAAAAAGTTGATTAGGCATTTTGCCACTCTGCTCATTGCAGAGAATTTTCAGAGGTCTGCCATTTTTGCTGACATCTTCCTGAAATTTATTTCTGTATATGAGATGAAATAGGGATTTAACTTTTTTCCTTAATAGATAACCAGTTTTACAGCACAGTTACTAAGTAAATTATACTTTCCCACTAAATTAAAATGCCATTTTTGTTGTTATTTATTAAGTTTCCTAATTATTTGGATATGTCTCTGGACTTGCTTTCGTTTTATCCAATAAATTTGTTAAAAGGAAGTAATTCATTGTCATCTGAACCAAGTATTAGCTATGTGAACTTGAGCAAGTTACTTCATCTCTCCAAACTTCTGTCTCTTTATCTGCAAAATAGTGATGATAATCTCATAAGGTTGAAAAGATTAAATTAGAAAATTTCAAGTACTTTGCAAGGACTTGGTACTTAGTAAACTCAAATATTTTAATTTCATATTGATGTTCATAAACACTTTTACTATTTAAAGTTGTGGTGAATTTGCAAAATCACTGTCTTTTATTCTTTAATTGCAGTCTTGGACTATATCAGTGGAGTGATAAAGTAGTTCGAAAAGTGGAGAGATTATGGAATGTTCGAGATAATAAGATCGTTTCTCACACTGTGTATCTTCTAGTAACACCTCGTGTTGTCGTACGTATTAACCCAACTTCTTCTTTTCCTGATCCATCTTTTCTTTTCCTTTCTTATAGTTCTTTCTTTACTAATCATTATTGTTAAAGAATTTAAGACTAGGGGCATCTGGGTGGCTTAGTTGGTTAAGTGTCTGACTCTTGGTTTCGGCTCAGGTCATGATCTCAGGGTTGTGGGATCGAGCCCCACATAGGGCTTTGTGCTCAGTGTGGAGTCTGCTTCAGATTCTCTTTCTCTCTGCCCTTTCTCGCAATTGTTCATGCACACTGTCTCTCTCTCTAAAATAAATAAATACATCTATAAAAAAAAAGAACTTAAGATTAAATTTCAGAACCTATAATAAGAAAAATAATATAAAGGCAGTATAGGAAAGCTACAAGCCAAGAGAAATCTGAAGAAATTGAAATTTGTCAATAACTTTCATGGCTCCATTTTACTCATTGCTTTAAGCCAGTGCTCCTCTACTCTCGTACCTCTTAGGATCTCTAAGGCTGGCAGGCTGGACACTCAGGGAAGAGTTACAGTTTGAGTCCAAAGGCAGTAAGCTGGCAGAATTCCTTCTTGCTTGGACAAAGTCAGTCTTTGTTCTTTTTAGGCCTTCAACTGATTGGATGAGGCCTGTCTATATTATGGAGGGTAATCTGCTTTACTTAAAGTAATTTAAATGTTAATCTCATCCAAAAACACCCTTAACTGAAACATTCAGAATAATATTTGATCAAATATCTGGGTACTGTGGCCTAGCCAAGTTGACATGTAAAATTAACCATCCCATTCTCTTATTTTTAAAATAAGCTCTACCCCCAACGTGGGGCTCAAACTGATGACCCTAGGATCAAGAGTCACATGCTCTACTGACAGCCAGCCAGCACCCCTGTCTTCGGAACTTTTGCACAGCTCTTGGGATATTTCCCATCACTGGAAATTTCTAACCAAAGGACAGAAAAAACCAAATGAGCAAAATTGTATTCTAATGAAGAACTTATTTTTGTTTCAAGGACTATATCTATACTAAGAGCAGTTTATACCTTCATTAAAAACATTGTTGATATAATAGTTACAAATGGCAATCATGTTAGTCTGTAGCCTTTTTGAAACATGTGACGTAAAGCCAAAATCTTCAAATAGAGGAAAACATATTAAGAGAAATAGTAATTTACTAGCAAAGAAGAGTGTAATAGTATCAAAATATTTAATTATATTAAAAGCCATATTTTTAAAAGATGTTCTCTCACTTCTCAACAAAGTAATTCTTTAACAGCTACTTTATTATATTTATATTAGATAAAGAATCTGCCGTTAGCTTATCGTACTTCTGTAGGGTTTATTTATTTTTTTCTGATTCTTAGGATGAAGCACGAAAACATTTTAACTGTCCAATTCTGGAGGGAATGGAACTCGAAAATCAAGGTGGTATGGGCACTGAGCTCAATCATTGGGAAAAGCGGTTATTAGAGGTCAGTTTATTTTTAAATTTTACTAGACATATTTTTTCTTTAACAAAAGTAATTCCCTTTTTAATAAAAGTAATTCTTATTCGGGCGCCTGGGTGGCTCAGTCGGTTAAGCGTCTGCCTTCGGCTCAGGTCATGATCCCAGGGTCCTGGGATCGAGTCCCGCATTGGGCTCCCTGCTCAGCCAGGAGCCTGCTTCTCCCTCTCCCACTCCCCCTGCTTGTGTTCCCTCTCTCGCTGTCTCTCTCTGTCAAATAAATAAATAAAATCTTAAAAAAAAAAAATCTTTAAAAAAAAAAAAAGTAATTCTTATTCAAGCTATTCAAACAGTATAATGGGTTATAAAGTAAAATTTTTTCTTTTTCTTGTTCTGTTTTTCCTCTTAACAAGCAGTTTCTCATTAATAAGTTCAGGTCAATAGTGAACTAGAATGAATCTTAACCAACCTCCTTGGTTATTGTTTGTTTGTTACTTAACTTCTTGCCTCTTTTTAAAACTACAATGTTTGATAGGCAGTGACTGAAATAAGTCCTCCTCTTTTCCACTCACTTCCCTTTCTTTTCCGTAAGGTGGACCCTATGTAAACCTAAAAACATCGTGACTTAAAGTTCCTTTTCCCCTTAGCGCTCCAGATTGACTTTTAGATGTAATCACTATTTAAGTTCTTTGTATATCCTTCCAGAAATATTATATATATGTAGAGATACACATGCCAACACAGTTTGTTTTTTTAATGGATTCATATATTTGTGCAACTGTTTTCCACTTAATAATGTATCTTAGACATCTTGCCAAGCAGTACAGGGCTCCTGCTGTAATGCAATGTATGCTTTCCTAAAAAACCTCTTTCTTCAAAATTGAACACGAAAAATAACAAGACTTGAGGGCGCCTGGGTGGCTCAGTTGGTTAAGTGTCTGCCTTCTGCTCCGGTCATGATCCCAGGGTCCTGGGATTGAGCCCTGTGTTGGGCTCTCTGCTCAGCGGAGAGCCTGCTTCTCCCTCTCCCGCTCCCCCTGCTTGTGCTCTCTCTCTCTCTCTCTCTCTCTCTCTGTCAAATAAAAAAATATATAAAATATTTTTTTAAATAAGTAAAAATAACAAGACTCATGGAAAAAACAAATAATATACCACTAAGAAAAGTAGTAGCTCAGAATAAAAGTACTAGCTCAGTTTTAAACATATCTCCAATAAAGAAGCTCCTATATTTACTATAATATTTCTTTACCTTAAACAACAACAAAAAGCAATGGTAGTTGGAAGGGAGACTATAAATTGAGTAATGGGGGCAAGAGTAAAATGTACAAAATTAGAGGGAGTCATGCAATAATCACTTTTAAAACAGAGCCTCTGGCCATATTGAAGCAAGTGGAAGAACATGGAGTGAATGGGCATCATGCACAGTACAGCATTCCTCTGTTGCTGTGTTTAGCTGTCCTAATGTACTTTATATTTAGCTGCCATTGCTCCATTGCACAGAATAGGAAAATCCAAGGACAAGTTATTATGAACCAACATAATTTAACAGCTACATAGTATTATATGACTCTAACAATAGTCCTGTGTTAATGAACAGCTATGTTTTAAATTTTTTATTTTATTTTCTTTATTTTTATTTTATTTCTAAGATTTTATTTTTTTTAATTTTTTTTTTTAAAGATTTTATTTATTTATTCATGAGAGACAGAGAGAGAGACAGAGGCAGAGGGAGAAGCAGGCTCCCTGCTGAGCAGGGAGCCCGATGCGGGACTTGATCCCAGGACCCTGGGATCATGACCTGAGCCGAAGGCAGACGCTTAACCGACTGAGCCACCCAGGCATCCCTCTAAGATTTTATTTTTAAGTAATCTCTACCCCCAACATGGGGCTTAAAACTCTGAGATCAAGAGGCGCACACTCTACTGACTGAGCCAGCCAGGTGCCCCTAAATTTTTTATTTTAAAAATGTTGTGATAGGGCACCTGGGTGGCTCAGTCAGTTAAACATCTGCCTTCAGCTCAGGTCATGATCTTAGGGTCCTGGGATTGAGTCCCACGTCGGACTCTCTGCTCAGTGGGGCGTCTGCTTCTCCTTCTCCTTCTGCCCCTACCCCCTCTCGTGCTCTCTCTCAAATAAATAAATAAAATCATTAAAAAATAATAAAAATTAAAAATATTAAAATGCTGTGATGAGGAATTTATTTATATCTGTGATCCCTTTCAGGAGTAGCATTCCAGTGGGTATTCTTAAGTTCAACCAAACAAGCATTCAAGCTCACAAGACCTAACAGGCCACATTGAAAAAAGATTCACTTGGAAGGATACAAGAAAGAACATGCAGCATGGCAGTATGGTAGAAGTCAGGCATTTCTCTTGTGCTCCACACAGCAGATTAGGGGCATCCATGCCTCTCCCCTATCCCTTTCCAGGTCAAATACAGGAGCATAAGGCCATAACAGAGGGCATAAGAACCAGCATGGCTTAGAAGTACTATGTTCCAAATAAGAACTAATATATGTTTTTTTTTAACAGTTCCATAGACATAACTTCCAGATCTCTGTAAGGGAATCCTCATAAGAGTCAGTGCACATGGGGAGGTTCCAAACTATGGCTTACAAAAGAGTAAAATTAATGCTTGTGCTGACTATTCTTATCCAGGTGACCATAAAGCAATAGTGATAGAAACTTATGGAAGACACATTATATTTGTTTCTCTCATGGGACTTTCAGTTTTTTAATTTTCCTTAAGCAGTTTTCGCAAGTGATTCCCATTAGATAACTGTAGATTAGTCACACACGAAAATTTATTTACTCTGCAGTAGAGACTTGAGAGTATTAATTTCATTAAGAGCTGCCTTTCTCTGAAATCAACTTTGTGTCCTTGAACTACTTTTTTTTTTTTTTTTTAAAGATTTTATTTGAGAGAGAGAGAGAGCACGAGCTGGGGTGGGGAGAGGGAGAAGCAGGCCCCCCACTGAGCTGGGAGCCCCACGTGGGGCTTGATCCAAGGACCCCAGGATCATGACCTGAACTAAAGGCAGACCGACACCCAAGAGGCACCCAAGAGGCACCCAAGTGCCCCCTTGAACTCCTTTTTTAAATGATTTTAAAGTACTCAAGGTGACCATCCAGCATTTAGCATAAGGATTTGAAGAATAATCAGAGCTGTTGTAGGATTTTTAGGATATTAATTAAAACACTGAGTAGATAGTAGACCTTGATGACATTTTAGGTCCCTCATCTAACTTCTTTGATCCTATGATTCTGTGATACTTGTTTTGCATATTAATGTATATTTCTGTGACCATAAGATTGAAGGGTTATAAAAGCATTTTTGTTGTTGTTGTTGTTAATCAGGCAAATAACCATCCCTTCCAATATTTTATGGGCATCTGTCTCAACCACTCATTTACTTTTGTCTAGATAGCGTAAAATTTTTGCAGTATTTCTGTTTCTATATATTTATCTTCATTTTCATCAGAGTTCTAAATGCTGGTTGTCTGCCATTGTAGGAAATTGTTTTGTTTAAGGCAGAAAGCAGATCTTTTTTTAAGCTTCATTGTTGTCATTTTAAAGAAGGCTTATGTATTTCACTACTTTAAGTGAGTAAGTCAGCCTCTCACACTTGAGACATTTTTTTTAAAGATTTTATTTATTTATTTGAGAGAGAGCGAGCACAAGAGGGGGGAGCGGGAGAGGGAGAAGCAGACTCCCTGCTGAGCAGGGACCCCAATGCGGGACTCAATCCCGGGACTCCAGGATCATGACCTGAGCCAAAGGCAGTTACTTAACCAACTGAGCTACCCAAGTGCCCACACTTGAGACATTTTACATATACATCAAAGTAATCACGGAAATTATTGGGAGTTTCAGGAGGCCTAGTCTTCTAATTTAAAATCTGTTGATTTTCAGAATGAAGCAATGACTGGCTCTCACACCCAGAACCGAGTCTTCTCTCGAATCACTTTGGCATTAATGGAAGATACTGGGTAAGATAGCTGTGAGAATATTATATGCATTGTTTATTAAAATGAAATGAGTATTAAGTTAATATTAAGATGAAATGAATATTAGCTTAAGAAAATATATTTTAGGGGCGCCTGGGTGGCTCAGTTGGTTAAGCGACTGCCTTCGGCTCAGGTCATGATCCTGGAGTCCTGGGATCGAGTCCCGCATCGGGCTCCCTGCTCAGTGGGGGGTCTGCTTCTCCCTCTGACCCTCCTCCCTCTCGTGCTCTCTCTCTCACAAATAAAAAAAATTAAAAAAAAAAAGAAAATATATTTTACACTGAAGTAAAATATTTGAATTTTGTGCAGTTAACTATCTTTACCTATACCAACTCCATCATTCATTCAATAAATCTTTGAGGCCCTGAGGTATAATAATGAATAGATCAAAATTCCAGGCATTGTAAGATTTATTTTCTTTCTTTTTTTTTTTTTTAAAGATTTTATTTATTTATCTTAGAGAGAGAATGGGAGACAGAGAGCATGAGAGGGGGAGGATCAGGGGGAGGATCAGAGGGAGAAGCACACTCGCCACCGAGCAGGGAGCCCGATGCGGGACTCGATCCCGGGACTCCAGGATCATGACCTGAGCTGAAGGCAGTTGCTTAACCAACTGAGCCACCCAGGCGCCCCGTAAGATTTATTTTCTAATGAATAGAGACCATGCTAATATAAAGGAAAGACTAATCTAAACAAGTTTTTAAAGTTGTAAATGAAATTGATGATGTGTAGATTCCTGGTTTTTAAAGCAGTAGAACTTTTGGTAAAGCAGTAGAATACTGTTTTTAAATGACTCCAATGGGAGTCTTTTTCTGTGGGCTCCTGAGTTCTTTTGACGAGACTCACTAGTTTTTGATAGCTTCCTTCCGTCCTTTTTTTGGATGTGCCAGGCTGATGGGCATACACCCTATCCTAGATCTGCACATCAGCCAATCTTCCAAGGATCACTGGTTGCATTTAGTGGAGACTAGATCCCATGCATGAAGCCCACCTAAAAATAAAACAAAACAAAACAAAAAACCACAACCTACTGTGTTCATTGCTACTAGGTTATCATTGCTTCTCATAGCTTTTAGTGGAGCAAGTTGGGAAATTCATATTTTTGAAAAGAAAGAAGAAAACACTGGGTTTCTTGTAGTACCATTATAACTCTTTCCCATTTACTTTTGGTCAAGCAATGGCCGGCAAAAGTGGTCCTGCTGCTCTGTTTAACAACCTATTTATAGCCCTTTTATAAACAATGCTAGTTTCTTTAAGATACCAATATGTTACAGAAACACTGTGAGTGTGTGAGTCACTAGTGAAATCATGGCACTGGTGATTTTTATAGCATTTTTCCTTTTTCTGGGGCAACACAACAGTAACATGACCAGATGTTTCTAAATATCTGGCAATATTTTAAAGTTGTAGACATGGAAATTAATTTTCATAAATCCATAAGACTTAGGTGTAGGTTAACTAAGTTGCTTCTCTCAGTAAAAAACATTATTATTTATCCATCCAGAAACCTGGGAATCATCCTTGACAACTCCCTCTTCCCACCTCTTACATCCAATCAATCAAAAGTCTTCCATGATTTTTAGCTCTTCTATCCCTGGAGTCTGTCTACTTTTTTGGTCACCACTACTATTATCTTTTGCCTGGATTACTATAGTAGTTTTTTCTTATCTGTCTCACTGCATTTTAAATGGTCCTTTCTATTGCCCAAAGGCTTTTCACAGTGTTCTTTAGAAGTTTTTGTTCGTATACCATCTTACACATAAGAAAGATACATATCATGACCAAACTACACACATACATATATAACGGTTAAGAGCAAAGACATTGATAGGGGTACTAAGACCATTCTATGATGAAAGAATACTTTTTTTCAACAAATGGTGCTGGGACAACTGGATATCCACATGCAAAAGAATAAACCCCTACTACATATGATATACAAAGATTACCTCAAAATGGATCAAAGACCTAAATATAAGACCAAAACTATAAAACTCTTAGAATCAAAGAGTCCAAGATAGCAGAGTAAGAGACCTTAGTCTTGTTCCAGGAGTTCAGCTAGATAGCTATCAAATCATTCTGAACACCTGTGAACTCAGCTGGAAATCTAAGAAAAGAATTGCTGCAATTCTACAAATAGAAAAGTGACCACTTTCTGCAAGAATGACAAGATGGAAAAACTCACCTTAAAAAAAGCGAACAAGAGGCAGTACTGACTGCCAGGGACCTAATCAGTATGGACATAAGTAAGATGTTGAAACTAGAGTTCAGAATAACAATTATAAAGATACTAGATGGGCTTGAAAAAAGCATAGAAGACACTAGAGAATCCCTTTCTGGAGAAATAAAAGAAGTAAAATCTAATCAAGTCAAAATAAAAAAGGCTATTAATGAGATGCAATAAAAAATGGAGTCTCTAACTAGGATAAATGATGCAGAAGAGAGAATTAGTGATACAGAAGACAAAATGATGGAGAATAAAGAAGCTGAGAAAAAGAGAGATAAACAACTACTGGATTACAAGGGGAGAATTTGAGAGAGAAGTGATACCATAAAGCGAAACAATATTAAAATAATTGGGATCCCAGAAGAAGAGGAAAGGGGTGTGCAGAAGGTATATTGGAGCAAATTATAGCTGAGAACTTCCCTAATCTGGGGAAGGAAACAGGCATTCAAGTCCAGGAGGCACAGAGAACTCCACTCAAAATCAGTAAAAATAGGTTAACATCTTGACATACAATAGTGAAACTTGCAGATCTCAGAGAAAAGGGAATATCCTGAAAGCAGCTCAAATTAAGAGGTCCGTAACCTACAAGGGTGGACACATTAGACTGGCAGCAGACCTATCCACAGAGACCTGGCAGGCCAGAAAGGACTGCATGATATATTCAGGGTGCTATATGAGAAAAATATGCAATCAAGGATACTTTATTCAGCAAAGCTGTCGTTGAAAATGGAAGGAGAGGGCGCCTGGATGGCTCAGTTGGTTAAGCGACTGCCTTCGGCTCAGGTTACGATCCTGGAGTCCCGGGATCGAGTCCCGCATTGGGCTCCCTGCTCAGCGGGGAGTCTGCTTCTCCCTCTGACCCTCCCCCCTCTCATGTGCTCTCTCTCCCTCATTCTCTCTCTCAAATAAATAAATAAAATCTTTAAAAAAAAAAAAGAAAAAGAAAATGGAAGGAGAGATAAAAAGCTTCCAGGGCAAACAGAAACTAAAAGAATTTGTGATCACTAAGCCAGCCCTGCAAAAAATATTAAGGGGGATCCTTTAAGTGAGGAGAGAGCCGAAAAGTAACATAGACCAGAAAGAAACAGAGAAAATATACAGAAACAGTGACTTTACAGGTAATACAGTGACACTAAATTTGTATCTTTCAGTAGTTACTCTGAATGTAAATGGGCTGAATGCCCCAATCAAAAGACACAGGATATCAGATTGAATAAAAAAGCAAGACCCATCAGTATAATGTCTGTAGGAGGCTCTTTTTAAACCCAAAGACACGTCCAGATTGAAAGTGAGGGGGATGGAAAACCATTTATCGTGCTAATGGACATCAAAAGAAAGCTGGGATAGCAATCCTTATATCAGACAAATTAGATTTTATTTTTTTTTATTTTTTATTTTTTTAAAGATTTTATTTATTTATCTGAGAGAGACAATGAGATAGAGCATGAGAGGGGGGAGGGTCAGAGGGAGAAGCAGACTCCCTGCCGAGCAAGGAGCCCGATGCGGGACTCGATCCCAGGACTCCAGGATCATGACCTGAGCCGAAGGCAGTCGCTTAACCAACTGAGCCACCCAGGCGCCCCGACAAATTAGATTTTAAACCAAAGACTGTAATAAGAGAGGAAGGACACTATTATCATAATTGAAGGGTCTGTCCAACAAGAAGATCTAACAATTATAAATATTTATGCCCCTAACATGGGAGGAGCCAATTATAGAAACCAATTAATAACAAAATTAAAGAAACACATTGAAAGTAATATAATAATAGTAGGGGACTTCACCCCACTCACTGCAATGGACAGATCATCTAAGCAGAAGGTCAACAAGGAAATAAGGGCTTTGAATAACATATTGGACCAGATGGACTTCACAGATATATTCAGAGCAGTCCATCCTAAAGCAACAGAATATACATTCTTCTTGAGTGCACATGGAACATTCCCCAGAATAGATCACATTCTGGGTCACAAATCAAGTCTTAGCCTGTACCAAAAGATTGGGATCATTCCCTGCATATTTTCAGACCACATTGTTTTGAAACTTGAACTCAATCACAAGAGGAAATTTGGAAAGAACTCAAATACATGGGAGGCTAAAGAGCATCCTACTCAAGAATGAATGGTTCACAAAGAACAAATAATCCAATCAAGAAATGGGCAGAAGACATAAACAGACGTTTCTCGAAAGAAGACATACAAATGAAAAAATTTAAAAAAAGAAGAAGAAGACATACAAATGGCCAACAGGCACATGAAACAGTGTTCAATATCACTCAGCATAAGGAAATACCAATCAAAACCACAATAAGATACCACCTTACACCAGTCAGAATGGCTAAAATTAACAAGTCAGGAAACAACAGATGTTGGCAAGGATGCAGAGAAAAGGGAACCCTCTAACACTGTTGGTGGGAATGCAAGCTGGTGCAGCCACTCTGGAACTCAGTATAGAGGTTCCTCAAAAAAGTTGAAAATAGAGCTACCCTATGACCCAGCAATTGCACTACTAGGTATTTACCCCAAAGATACAAATGTAGTGACCTGAAGGGGCACCTGCACCACAATATTTATAGCAGCAATGTGCATAATAGCCAAACTATGGGAAGAGCCCAGATGTCCATCATTGGATGAATGGGTAAAGAACATGTGGTGTATATATACAATGGAATACTACTCAGCCATCAAAAAATGAAATCTTGCCATTTGCAATGACATGGATAGAACTAGAGGGTATTATGCTAAGGAAAATAAGT